AGGTGATGGAAACTTGACTCCAGAACCTGGTGGAGGTGGTAGTGGTGATGGAAACATGACACCAGGACCCACTGGAGGTGGTGGAGGTGATGGAAACTTGACTCCAAAATTTGGTGGGGGAGGTGGTGATGGAAACATGACACCAGGACCCACTGGAGGTGGTGGAGGTGATGGAAACTTGACTCCAGAACCTGGTGGAGGTGGTGGTGGTGATGGAAACATGACACCAGGACCCACTGGAGGTGGTGGAGGTGATGGAAACTTGACTCCAGGACTTAGTGGAGGTGGTGGAGGTGATGAAAACTTGACTCCAAGACCTTGTGAAGGTGGTGGTGGTGATGGAAACTTGACTCCAGAACCTGGCGGAGGTGGTGGAGGTGATGGAAACTTGACTCCAGGACTTAGTGGAAGTGGTGGTGGTGATGGAAACTTGACTCCAGGATCAAATGAGGGCAAAGAATGGACTGAGTCAGCCTGGCTCTGAGATTTTGAGTCTTGGAAGAGTGGGTCCAATTGTTCTCTGATGAGGCATTGCTTCATTCGGTTCAGATATAGGTCATAACACAGCAACTAGCTGCTACATGTGGATCTTATTTGAATCCTGAATTTTACAAATAAATCATTACAAATTTTGAGAAAAATAAAAATTTTTAAATTTTGTCTGGATTTGATAACATTAAGGAATTAATTGATTTTTAAAAAGAGTCATATTTGAGTCCTTATGTTTTGGAGAGACATACTGAAATATGTATTAATGACATATATTTGGATTCATTTCAGAATTATCCAAGAACAGGGGAGTGTAGGTATAGGATAGATGAAGCCAGATTGACTATGCATTGTTAGTTGTTGAAGCTTGGGGTGTGCTCTCCTCCTTACTGTTGTATAATATGAAAATTTCCATGAAAAAATTGTCCTCGGGCAATGCAAATCTTATACCCTGGGCCTGATTGTTTCCAATCAGAAATCACAAGAGGCATTTCAAACTGTGCCATGCTAATCTCTTGTTACATTTCAAAACAGAAATTCGGTCCTCTTCTGTTTTGCCTAAAGCAGTTCAAGTCATGAACTGGGAAAAAATAATGCCTTGCTTTTATGTGGAAACAAACTGGGAGATACACATGATCTCCTTTATCTTGATCATGGGAGGAATCCAACCAATTGAAGAGGCAAAGCCAACCCTTGAGAGAAAAGCCACATTTTTAGGTAGCTGGAAATAAATACTTCTTTTGGAAAAGTTGGTCCCAAAGGAAGTCTTCTGGCAGCAGACACAAGGCATGAGTGTGAAAGCTGAGACTGAGTTGAAAAATTTCAGCCTGAGCTTCAACTGCCAGTGAAAAGGCCGGTGCTACTGGGGAGGTGGGTCACACATTGGCAGGCAGAGCCTGGGGGCAGAAAGGAGCTTAACACGGACACCCTGATACTAGTTGTCCTGTGTCCACCCACATGGCACCTCGTTCTCACAAGCCACAAAGAAGGAGGCTGCTTTGACAACATCCCCAGTCGTGTGAGTTGGGGACTCCAGCCATCACAAGCTGGGGGATGGTCCCAGGAATCGCCATGACACCCATATTTGCTAGACCACCTCCCAGGCTACAGAGCAGCGGCCAGGTTTCTTTTTCAATGATAGTCCCAGACAGAACAAATTGTCATGCATGTTAACTAGAAAGCTAGGAGGGCAAATTTTGAACTTGGGGGGAAAAAATTATATCTGGGAGTGGGAGGCTAGGAGATTAATGTAGGCGTGTGCTTCCCTGGGGAACAAACAAGCACTCAATTAGCATGAGAATGTCCCACAGTGAGCACGCTAGGGCCTGCTCTGTGCCAGGCATTGCAGTCAAGGTGGGATGAGTGAGCCATGGTTCTTGTTTTCAAGAAGAGCACAGGAAGGGAGGAGACAGGTGCGCAGAATTTCCTGGGAAAGTGCTGAAACAGAGGGCATGTCTGTCCTGTGACTCAGGTAGGGTAACTCAGCCAAAGCCTAACTTTGGGCAAATCGGGTTCATCTAATTTTCATCTATAAAATGGGGCAATTCTTGCCTTGCTGACATGGTAGAGTTTTAGAGCTGTAAGAAGCTAGACTGTTAAAATAACAACAACAACAACAACGATAAATAAAGAAGTTTCAGTAGCCCCACTGGCCTGGTTCAATGGTTGAGTGTTGACCTATGAACCAGGAGGTCATAGTTTAATTCTTGGTCAGGGCACATGCCCTGGATTGCAGGCTCGATCCCCAATGCGGGGCCTGCAGGAGGCAATCATCAATGATTCTCTCTCATCATTGATGTTTTCATCTCTCTCCCTCTCCCTTCCTCTCTGAAATCAATTATATGTGTGTGTGTGTGTGTGTGTGTGTGTGTGTGTGTGTGTGTGTGTTTAAATAAATATCTTATATATAAAAAAGCATCAGCAGCTACAGGAGTAGCCCACTTATCTAAGGGCCAGTGACTGGCGCTCATGGACGAGTGTCCTCTGTGAGCGGCAGCCAAGACCATGGGCAGGTTCCTGATGCAGATGCTGCCCACTATCCAGCCAGCCCTGAATAGCAGCGCCCTGTAACCTCATTCTCATAGTTAGTTCCTTGTCACATGCCCAGGAGCTGCTGTGGCATGAGAACCCTTTCCAACTCGTTCCAACTCGCCTGATTCAGAGGATGAAGGTGCTTAGTTCTAGTAATCTTAATAAATCCAGAGCTTGAGAGCCAGAGGGATGTTGGAACATGCTGTCCAATCCTCCCATTTGTATGCAGGGCAAAGGAGACTTAGGAAGGATGTCACCGGTTTGAGGTCACCGAAGTGGTGGGACAGCTGGTGCCGGAATCTGGTTCTCCGACTGTCCTGGTCCAAGAGAGCTGCTTCTCTTTCCTGGGAGGTTTGGCCACCACTGCTGCCTTTTCTAACCTTGATCTTTTCCTGTCTCCAAATACCTCTTTCATCCTAATGTCCAAGGAAGAGTAGTTAGAACAGAATAAAGGAGAAAAATTCTTCCCAAGCTCTCTGTTCTCCGGGATCGTTCATTCTTTGGAAAATGTTTCCTAAATGTCTGTCATGTGTGTGGGCCCCATCCCAATCTGGGTTCACAGAGATGAAAAGGCAATGTCCCAGTCTCTAAGGAGCTCCTGGGGCCGTCAGCATTGAAACGCTCTCTTCATGAAACCTCTGCTCTAGGGAGAGAAAGTCCTTCTAACCTGGTTTGTTTGAGTCACGTGTGCATGGAGCCATCCTTTCATGGCCTCTTTACTTCCTGAGAATTTCCATTCATGCCCATCTGGCAGCTTCTGCCACCTGGACCTTGGGCCCAGGTTGTATAGTGAGCAGAGAAAAGGCTTTACTCTGGAGGGCCCACCCCCCCACTCCATGAGCCTCTTCCTGATCCTTAGGGTTTGCATGATGACACCTCAGGATTGCTTCCTCCCTGCTCTCTCCTGCCCCTGAAGAATTTGGTTTTGCCGTCAGCTGAATCCCTGTCTTCCCCAGTCTGCCCCCTTGCTTTGGTTCCTCCAGCCTCTCCCCAGCCACCATCTTGGTGCAGTTGAGTTGCCTTGAGTCCAGAGCTTTGAGGCCTTGGCTACAAAAACAGCATAGTTCAGTGGGAACTCTGATTGACGTGTGCACGTGAGGAAACATGTCGAGTGAAAAGTTCGACTGGAGATTCTGACGTCCCTTCCAGCTCTAGCATTTCTGAAAAGGTACATGCAAAGGTTGACAGCCTGGAAGGTTCTGGAAGGGTTCTACTGCGTCTGTCCAGACCTAGCACCAACACCTCGTGGCATTTTTAAATGAATGTGGGCACTGAACTTTGCTTCTGACTCTCCCCCACTCTCAGAAGAGGTCTCCTGGTTAGAGATGGTTAGAGATGGCAGTGCAGGGAACGGGGTGCTGAGGGCCAGGACACACTCTCACACTGTTATCTGTGGAAGGGTCCCCAGAAGAGGTGCTGCGCCTTCCTCCTCTGCTCTAGTTAAGCACCCTTCTCTGTGCTGAACACTGATGAATAGACCCCCAAAGGCAATGCTGGGCCCACAGGGCACCACCATCTACTCTAACAAGCCGTGACATGCCAATTATTTGCTCTTCTGGAGAAACCTCAGCCTGAAATCTGTTTGATTGCCATGGAGATAATCTTTTAAACATAGCTTTTACATTCTTTAAAGACTTTTCCCTGTGGGAGTGAGAAGGTTTATCTGACCGGGGGACAGGATTATTCATTTTTATTTCCAAAGGAAGGACTATAGTACCAGGTGATAGTAGTGTGCACTGGAGGATTTATTTTAAGTCTGCCTCCTCACTGATAGTTTGTCAATGAGGTTGTAATAATTAGTTTGTAATACTGTCATACTTTTTCTCAGTGTAAACCTTGCACTTTGCTCTGCTATTCCAGGCCTGAATTACTTGATGTTTGAAAAGTATCCCTATCTGGTTGGGTTCTGTATTTATCCTGGATGTGGGTATCAAGTGCCAATGTCCTCAAGGGTTTCCTCTCAGGAAGATGATGCCTGTAAATCCATTAGCCTCAAAGACTACCTGGCGCTGCCGTCAGTCCCACACCCATTTTCCCCACCTGAGTGCCCCAGCAGACTCATTAATTCTTCCCACTAGAATGCAAGCTTGGGCCAGCAGGGGCTCCAGCTGGTGTGCAACCTGGCAGCCCTAAGGCCCAGAGCGAGCCCTGCTCACAACAGGTAGACGGTGAAAGTCAGCAGGTCTTCATGTGGAGAGGATGTGCTGAATCAAAATAGGAACAATCCACAGAGTAAAGCAGAGCTGGTGGGCCCACATCCCTGTCTGCTGCTCTAGTCCTTTCCCCACATCACTCCCAGCAAGTGGTCTGGGCAGTGGCTGCACCTGTTCTGTAGGCTGAGCTCTCTGGGCCTCGGAGAATAGACCTCTGGAGAGCAAGAAGATAAAAGGTGTAATTCTATTGAACACAGAATTACAAGGTTAGAAAAAAGTTGTTAGTGGAAACCAGATTAAACCTTGGGCTTGAATCTCTCCTTCCAGGTCCTGCTGGGGAGAAGAGCTGGCCCAAGAACTACCCGTCCTGTGGGGGCCTGATGCAGTCCCCAATCGACCTGCACAGTGACATCCTCCAGTACGATGCCAGCCTGGGGCCCCTCGAGTTCCAGGGCTATAACGTGTCTGCCAACGAGCAATTAACCCTGACCAACAATGGCCACTCAGGTGAGGGAGAGACCCCAGAGACCTGCAGGTGTCTAGCTTCCCTCAGCTGCCTGCCTGTCCTTGTCCATCTACTGGGGAGGGGGCTCCACTGAGGCACGGGGGTGGAGGTGGGCGAGGGAGAGGGGCCCAGACCACTCCCTCCAGGGGTGCTGGGGGTTCTGGGCTCAGCCCCTTCTGCCAGGGCAGCACCTGTCAGAAGCAGCACATGGCTTGGGGTGGGAAAGGGGACAGGTCCGGGCCCCTTTGGCCATTGGCTGTGGCGTGGGAGTGACTTCTCGGGCATCATGAACTCAAGGAGCCACACAGTTCATTGCAGGCCTGCACCCAGGCTTTGGAGTCAGACAAGCCTGGATCTGAATTCTGGCTTGAGCTTTCATTTGGAAAATGGGCATATGAGGGGGGGGGGGGGACTATGAAGATGAGAGAGTATATTGTTGGGATCTGTTATCCAGTAGATGCTCCATAAATGGCAATGATTATTGTTGCTGTGATAGAATTCTACAGCTTGGCAGGCGTTCATTAAAGGTTCTATCTTCACGGTCAGGTGTGCGATGCATGGACATGTGAACAAGCACCCACCTGTGGGTCTGGTATCAGTGTTCCGCCATCATTTTCCATTTCCCAAGGGGAACCAGGAAGGTGCCGCTGCCGCTGGGATTGCTTTAGTCAAACAGGGATGTTCTCAGGGAAAGAGGCTCCTGACACACAGGCTGGGTTTCTTGGGTCTCCACCTTGCTGCGTCCACCTGCCCCTGTAAGGAACCCGAGCAGGTGCTGCCTACCTGACTCTGAAGGTCCCCTCTCCCCTCCCCACAGTGCAGCTGACGCTGCCCCCGGGCATGCACATCCAGGGGCTGCCATCCCGCTACAGCGCCACGCAGCTGCACCTGCACTGGGGGGACCAGAACGACCCCCACGGCTCCGAGCACACTGTTGGCGGGAAGCACTTCGCTGCCGAGGTGAGTGGGGTGGCCGGGCTGGCGGGAGCTGCCCAGGGTGGGTGACCTGGCATCCTTCCCCTGGGCTGGTGTGCAGGAAGACCAGAGCATGGGGGTGGGGGTGGGGACTGTAAGATCAGTGATGGGGTTGGGGTGGGGGGCTCTGCCTTCATGCTCTCCACAGCCACACTCAGCCCTGTGAGCACTCCTCCGGCCACCCTGCAGCTCCTCTGTGGTGTCCAGTCCCCTTTCTCTCCTAAACAGGCTGAGTTTGTCTCTACATCGTTTACTGAGCCGTGCTGCTCAGAAGGCAGTGCTCCCAGCGGGCACAGCGGGACACGTATGCCCGTTTTCTAGACATGGTTCTTCGGTTGGCACAGATCCCACCAGCTTGCCTAGCTGATGCACCCCCTGCTGAATTACACGGGGCTAACGGCTTCCCCAACTTCTCAGTCTTCTCCACATGCCACGTTGTGGGCACAGGTCTGTCCCGTCCCATCTGTCCTTTCCCTGAACATGGGTTGTGCTTGGAACTTGGGACCCAAGTCCAGGGCTACTCTTTCACTTGGCCACAAACCAAGGGATGGCTGGCATCGTAACGTGCAGGGAGTCATGGCAACCAGAGACTCACCAAGGACAGCTTGGGGTGTCAACAGAGCCTTGTGTTACGTAGTCCTGAAGCACTAACCCAAAATGTCAAAGGAAGACAGGAGGAGGCACAGCGTGTGCGATGGTGGGAGAGGGGAGAGTTGCTTTACGTCAGAGCTCCCACGGACCTGAACGTGGGGTGTGTTCTGGATGTTTACAGGGCAATACGAGGAGGTAAATTCAACTGATCAGCCAGCGGAGCCCACAGTAAACACTGACATAACCGCTCTCTGTTCTTAATTGCTGAGCTGCTTAATGCCTCAGGCTAATGACAGGTTGAGCTGCGAATGTGGAAAGACTGTAATTCTGGCCCCGTCGCATGGCACTGCTGGAGGCGCACATATTCCAGGCCAGGCCCCTCTCTGAACCCCCACAACTGCGAGTTCTTCCAGGCTAATTGCCGTGTGGAGGCTCCTGCTTTCCCATGGGGAACAGAGGAGGTAGGGTGTAGGCGGGAGGGCTTGGGCATTTAAAAATACTTCTAGTTATTGTATTTTCTGCTATTAAGCCACATCATCAGGCCAAGAGCCTGGTGAAGATGGACCATAGATGTCAATAACAGAGAAAAAGCACCAGGTTGCCCTGACTGGTTTGGCTCAGTGGATAGAGCGTCGGCCTGTGGACTGAAGGGTCCTGGGTTTGATTCCGGTCAAGGGCATGTACCTTGGTTACGGGAACATCCCTGGTGGGAGGTGTGCAGGAGGCAGCTGATCGATGTTTCTTTTTCATCAATGTTTCTAACTCTCTTTCTCTCTTCCTTCCTTTAAAGAAAATCAATAAAATATCCATTTTTAAAAATGCACCAGGTTAACCCTAAAGTGGCAGATTCTCTATGGAGGGTCCTTGGGAGTTGGAGGTTCTTCTGGATGGAGTGTGTGTAAGACAACTCCATCCTCTCAGCAGGGGCTTCCCTTCTGTTTGTATTAGTCTTCACCTTCTCTCTATTTAGTCTGAACACAGTGTCCACAAGCTCAAGGGTCATAGGTAAAAAGAAATAAGTCTCTAGGATCTCCGGGGTCTTAGCCATAGGATTCTGTTCTGTTTGTCAAAGCGATGCCAGGCAAGGATGGTGTTGCAGGCTGCATCCTTCGAGGAAAGGGGGTGAAAAGGGGAAATGATGAATTAGGAGCCTCCAAGAAATTCTGAATAGAGGTCCACATAAAAAAAAAATCAGTAATTTGATGTAATTTTTAAAAATTAGAAAGGGCCACTTAAAAAGTGGGGAACATGGAGCTGTTCTCAAGAAAATATTCTTGAATTCTAAATATAACCATATAAGATGGAAAAAGTGGCAAAGAATCAACAAAAATGCACGTGTCAACCTGTAGATCTATTTACTAATATGTTTTTTTTTTGGAGAACAAATGACACCACCTTTAGGATTAAAAACCAGGTTATAAATGTTGTCAGAATTTGCCCCAACAATGTCTCAATGCTTACCTAGACTTGTTTTCACTTGAGACCAAATATTAGACCTGTGGTTTTCTCTACCTGACGGATAAAATTGTACTGAGGATACAATTACAGTTAAGTTACTAGCACAGTTAGAGGTTTACTGCCCGGGCCCCCACTGCTTCCAGACCAAGTGCATGGCGGCCAGACACATGAGGCCATTTTGCCCCGGGCACCCGAACAAGTAAGGGAAATTAGAAGGGAGAAGTGTTCCCAAGTACCAGGCTGGTATAGAAACCCATTTGATGGTTCACTCATACTTCCTTCAGTATTACTGTGCACCTGGTACTGTGCAAGCAGGATGTCAGACACGGGGATGCAATGAATGAGTAAGATGGACAGTCTGGCCTGGCAGTTTGCAGGGGGAATGAGGGAAAAGGGAAACTGAGGAGCCATGCAGGGAAGGTCTGAGAGGTATGATCTACTTGGAGTGGAGGAGGGAGGTCGGTCCTTCCCATGGGACTCCAGTCTCTTGCAAAAGCCAGATGGGATTTGCCCATCCCCTCATAAGAGGCTTCTCGCCCCCTACAGCTGCACATTGTACATTACAACTCGGACCTGTATCCCAACGCCAGCACCGCCAGCAACAAGTCAGAAGGCCTCGCCGTCCTCGCTGTTCTCATAGAGGTAGGAGAGGTTAAGAGGGGCTTTGAGTGGAGTTTGAAGCTGGGATGATAGCAGACTGGGCCTTTGGTTCCATGCATACCGGTGTCTTGCCTCCAGAGCAGGGGTGGGGAGGGGTATTCCTCATAGAGTTCCTTCTCTCTTGGCCTGGAGGCAGCACGTCCTACGGCTGAGCAGCAGAAAGGGGCGTGTCCTTTGTGACAACAGGGAAAATGAGCCCTAGTCCCCGGCCCCAATGCATAAGGGATGGAATTGCCCAGTTGGACAGGACATGTGAGTGTGAGTGTGAGTGTGTGTGTGTGTGTGTGTGTGTGTGTGTGTGTGTGTGTGTGTGTGCTGGTGATGACGGTGAAGTAGGTATCCTTTAGTTCTGTGCCTGAACTCCTGACACAACTCCAGGCACCCAAGGTCCATCCTTAGGGTCCCTGGAATGAGTTCTTTCCTAACCCCAGAAAATGGGAACATCTCCTGATTCCCCAGCGTCATTTTCCCCTAATGCAGTAGTCGGCAAACTGCGGCCCGTGAGCCACATGCAGCTCTTTGGCCCTTGAGTGTGGCTCTTCCACGAGATACCACGGCCTGGGCGAGTCTATTTTGAAGAAATGGCATTAGAAGAAGTTTAAGTCTAAAAAATGTGGCTCTCAAAAGAAATTTCCATCATTGTACTGTGGATATTTGGCTCGGTTGACTCATGAGTTTGCCGACCACGGCCCTAATGAGATAGTGGGTGCCTTGTTTCTCAACATGCGCACCGCTTGTCCTGGCTCCCTCGAGTTCGGGCTCACAGCGGTGACCGGGAGCGCGGGCTACATCCTGTCCAGCATCTGGGTGGAAACAGCACCTCCTGAGCTACAGGAGGCAGGATCGCTCTACCAACCCCGTACCAGCCGGGAGGCCCATCATATCTGTCCTGGTGAAGGGCATTCTTCAGGGAGGCCTGGCACAGTGGCCATGGCCCCGGCCAAGCTCTCCCATCACCACTGTCGGCCCAGGCTCGCCTATAGGAATCTCTCCCAGTCCATCCCTGTCTCTGTTGCAGATGGGCTCCTTCAATCCCTCCTATGACAAGATCTTCAGTCACCTTCAGCACGTCAAGTACAAAGGTGAGGGGTCCTGGGTTGCATGGTCGCCCTCTGTTGGGACGGGTGCAGTGACTCCCGTGGGACCTGAAGGAAAATGGATGCGGAGGGCAGGTGCCTGGGACCAGAAAGGGGCTCGTTCATGTTTCTCGGCTCAGCCACCGGCTCCGCGGCCCCTCCGCGGTGGGGATTGAGGCCCACGCATCCCCCACCCCACCCCGTCTCTCCAGGCCAGGAAGTGCACATTCCCGGCTTCAGCATTGAGGAGCTGCTTCCCGAGAGGCCGGCCGAGTACTACCGCTACCGAGGCTCCCTGACCACGCCGCCCTGCAGCCCCACCGTGCTCTGGACGGTGTTCCGGAACCCCGTGCACATTTCCCAGGAGCAGGTGAGCGCCGGCCCCTCCAGGCACCACCGTAGCCTCCCCAGCGGCTTGCTGTCCTCACTTAGAGCTTCACTGGCTCCTCCTGTTCCAACCGCCCAAATGTCACGGGCGCCTGGGGAGCACCGTGTGCGGCTATCAAGTCAAAGGGACACGAACCCGTCTCCACCGTTCTTTAAAAGAGCTGCTTTTTAAAGAGTTGCTGGAACTCTTGGCTCTGTCACTAGCCAGCGGTGATACCGCCAGTCTCTTCAAATCTAACCCTCACTGTCATCACCTGTGCGGTCAGAGGGGCAGAGGGGGCTCCTGAGGCTTCTGGCCTTCCGTCTTGCAATAGACGGTATGCTAGAGAGCAGAGATTCCTATTTCCTCATTGCATCAGCCCCAGCTCCCCGGTTTCTGAACCGATTCTGAGTTGCACACAGGTGGCAGGTACAACCTGGAGGTATCTGCACTAGCCTTCCCCAAGCCTGGGAGGGGGGAAGACAGATCACCTTACCCCGGGCCCGGTCACTCGGAGGCCTGCAGGGGAGGGGGCCGTTCTCTGGCCTTCCCACTGCTCTCTGCTGAGTCTCTCTCTGCCAAGGCGCTGGGGGCTGAGAGGGGGAAGTTCCTTCCTGAGGTCAGGCCAGGGGGCCCTCACTCTGCCTGAGGGTGTGTGCCCCTCTCCCGCAGCTGCTGGATCTGGAGACAGCTCTGTACTGCACACACGAGAATGACCCAGCGCCCAGGGAAATGGTCAACAACTTCCGGCGGGTGCAGAAGTTTGATGAGAGGCTGGTGTACATCTCCTTCCAACAAGGTGAGGGCTGCAGGGCGTGGGGGGAGTGTGGTGCCAAGGTATCTTTTGCTCTTCCCCCTCCCCCTCTCTCCCCGCCCCTCAGGCTTTGTCCCGGTGCCCTTGGGTGGGTTATGAGCACTGTGGCCCCCACGGGAACCAGGGTGCATGAGGAGCTATTGTGTGGGGGGTTCACTGAGATCTCCCTTCGTGCTCTCGACTTCCCTGAGCCTTCGTGGGGAGCGCAGACCGGAGTCCTCGTTAAGCTGGGAGAGAGAGAATGCTCCGGGGACTCTCTGCTCTGGAGACCTACGCCTTCTCCTGAGGCATGGGGCAGCCCCTTTCATGGGATCACACCGCTCACTTCTCCTTCCAGGCTTTCTTAGCCCCAAGGCCCATCCCCAGCCTTGCTGGGTGGTTTGCCACCAGCACCGTCAATGTCCAGGGTCTCTTCTGGGAGGAGGCCGTCCCCGGGCACAGCAGCTCACGGTCCAGGGTGGCAGGCCCCTCAGGCAGGCAAGCGCCAGCACTCACTGCCTTTCTGCCTCCTCCCCCGGAAGCTGCTCAGGCACCGGCACAGCAGCTACTGAAGGAAACTAACAGTTCGCTGTATCCCCTCCCCCCCATCCTGTGACAGCCCCACTCTCCCTTTTAAACCCAGAACTGTAACTCCCCATCTGGACTTGCTGGGCACCTGCCTCCATAGTGCAGGAAGCCAAGGGTCTGGGAAAATGGGGGGAAGGGAGCACCCCTGGAACCCACGCCCTTCTTCAAGCCTCCAAGGTTACTCTCTCCCTGCAGATGCTTGAGCTTTCCCCACCTTGGGAGTCTCAAGTGGTCAGGGAGACCGGTGGAAGGACCACTTCACTCTTACATGTCACCGGTGGCCAACCTGGGCCAGGTGTGCATATTTAGAGATGGCCCCTTCGCCCACGTGTGCCAACTCTCCTTGCCAGCTCTCTGCCTTGCTTTGTTCCTTTCTTATTGTGTGAGATTCTAAATGTCACCTACTAAGCTTAGTAAACATATGCAGATTGTATTTCAAAGCCCTGGTTAGAAAGCTGTAGAAGCCTGCCCTTCTGAGTCACCCATACCTCCGGTCACTAGTAGGTCCTCCTCTGTCCGTTGCTTGATCAAGAACTGCCCATGAACTTATCTTCTGGGTTCTCCCCTCCAGATACCACTCATTAGAGTAATTTCCCCTTTCCTAAGGTGACCAGACATTCCGATTTTCTAACAATTTGTCCCGCTTCCCGCGATGTTTTTTAAAAAAAAGTCCTGATTTTTTTAAATGCCGTGGGACACGGGACAAATTGTTAGAAAATCGGGACTGACTTGCCAAAAGCAGACATTTTCTGGCCTGAAAACGGAATCTGTGAATCACAGACCTTCCTGAAAGTTGAGAATGTGTGTGATGTGACGTAGAGAGCTCTTAAAGACCTCAGATGTGCAGAATTCTCCCCCTGGACCTAACCTGGATGTAACCTTCTCCTTTCCTGTTCCTCTAAACCGAGTAGATGGGGTCAAAGGTGAAACAGAAATTCCTCATCTCTTAACCAAAACTGAGAACTCTGCTGCGGAGAAGGGACTTGCCCACGTGGACTGGGCGGACCTGGCTTGTGATTTGAGATGACAATCGGATCTGCTCTCTGGGCTCATCTATACACGACCCAGGGGCCAGGGTGGCAAACGCTCCCCTGTGGTCAGGAGACGTAGGTTTAAGAACTCACTCTGTTTCCTCCCGACCGCATGATGTGGGCAAACGATGTCCCTCTTTGGCCCTGGATCTCTGGCCGTGGACTCACGGGCTGACCCTCTTCCAGGGGCGTGTGCTGACCCTGAGTGGACACTAACGGCCTCCCATCCTGACTTTGCGTTGCAGGGACAGTGTTTGAGGGCGGTTACAGAGGATGAGAAGAAGCCATGCAGGAGCTTGAGGCTGACATCCCAAAGTAACCCCCGCGTGTAACGACGAACTGTGGCGTTGGGAGTAATTAGCCATCTTCTTAGACCGGCGCGGGTCTAAGCTGGCGCTTGCAGAGTGGGCGGTGCTGTCAGGGCGTAGTAGGGTGCTTCGTAGACGGCCCAGGTGGTGAAGGGAGCGGCCCACAGACCGAGTCCCAGCTTTTAGGACGTCAAGATCAGGCCCAAATGCAGCGTTGCCACTGCCCGCACCACGGGCTCAGCCAGAGCTGCCGCTGGCAAGGCCCAGGCTGGGCCCAGCTCTCTCCTTGGAGGGAGACTCCATGGCAGTCCCAGGCAAACCTGCTCATTTGGAGGCTGATTATAGAAACGTGGCCAGAATTCTCACTTCCAGAGGATGCGGGCAGCAAATGGGGCTGGTACCGAGGAGTAATGAGGAGGCAGCACCCCAGGAGTGAGGCCCCAAACCAGGGCGCCTTGTTCACGAGGCCCTCTCACACCAGCTGCCTCACCGGGGGTGCAGGTGTGAGGGGGTGCAGGTGTATGGGTGAGCCTGCTGGTCAGTGAGAGCCCGGGGCGGTTTGGACTCGATTACTTGCACACTGTCTCTGAGGTGTGTTTGCGATTAGGTGTGGTTCCCTCGGTTTTCTCTGGAAGTTGTCAGGAACAGCGGAGTTGGGAAACTGCCCGGAAAAAAGTCACCGGAAGGAAATCCTCTGGGAGAGAAAGTGCATGGACATTGAGAGGAGGATCTGAGACTTAGCCAGAGCAGAACGATTTAATGTGAGCCTGCCTCTTCCTCGGCTGTGCTCAGAAAGGAGGACAGGACCTGGGTGTCGTCTAACCATGACTGAGCCCCATGGCAGGGCTTCCCAGCCGGTGCATTTGGGACTGGATGGTTCCTGCTGTGGGGCTGTCCCGTGCACTGCAGCTTTGGCAGTGTCTGGTCTCTACCCACCAGATGCCTGTAGCATTGCGACCTGTAACAGCCACAGTTGTCTGCAGACGTGGCCAGATGTTTCTGGGGCGGAGGGGCAGAATTGCCCTGATGGAGAACTACTGCCCCGGGCGTGGACAGGGACTTTTCTGTCACAGGACTCCGGAGTTTTACACCACGAGCCCTGGGAAGGAGGTTTGTAATCTTCGGGGTGAATAGTTCTCTCACCCATTTCTCTTAGCCTTGGACATACCCCATTATATAAAAAAGATTCTCAAGTTCTACAGGAACACGAGGCCCAGAGTCCCTCTTGGGTTTGATTGCTTGGCATGAGAAACCCCAAGCTTATTATTTCAGGGGTAACCTTCCTTCTCCAGACTGAGAATGCCATGTGGCACTAGAGTCACCACAGGGGCTCCTGGTGTAAAACTCTGGAGTTCCCCTCCCTCGCTTTAGGGCAAGGTTTTCTCGTGGTGTTGCCTTTGGTGAAAATGCCCACTCTTCTCGGAGAGGTGACAGTCAGGCCAGGCACTTTCCACAGCTCCTACAAGCCTCCTCTGAGTGACACAAACGGAAGCTGGACTGAGGAGGGGAGAGCAGGCTCAATGTCCTTAAGGCGGGATCCGGAGAGAGGAGCACATCCCGGGACCATTCCCGCCTCACAGGAAGCCAGATGCCCCCTCGAGGAAGGGAAGGCCTGCAGAGGCGGAGTCACTGCAGTCCAGGGGCTCAGTTCTTGGTTCCTGCAAACTGACTCTTAGCCTCAGACACCGACACTGGGTGCAGAGAGCTCGTCCAGCCTGAGTAGTCATGTTGTCTAGCCCTATTTTCAACATTGAGGGACAAGAGGAAGCCACAAAGTTTCTATAATCCTGTCTGTAGTGTGCCTGCGCTGAGCAACTGCATGTCCCCGCAGTAGGAGCAGAGCGGGCTGAGGTGCAGGTACACAGAAGGGCTGCACTGTGGTGATGGGGAAGGGATGTGGGGGGTCTCACCCACAGCAAATCTGCGGAGTAGCCCAATCAGATTTTGCTTGACCCTAAGGAAACTGGGTTGTTTTAGAAAACCTTTAAAAAAGAGGTAGAACCAAAAGCTTACAAAGCTAAGATGGCTAATTATCTAATGTTTTGAGACTGAAATGTATGCTGTGTGGTTATTGACCTTGTGTTTCTCAAAGTTCCTTTTTATAAATAAACTCCATGAGACGGGAAAGGATCAGTTCTTCCAATCCCAATGAGAGCCCAGAGGAGCCTTCCAGCTGCCCCTGGGGGCGGGGCTGGAGGGTCAGGAGTAACATCCACGGGCTGAGCAGCGAGTCCCAGTCCCTTCATCCAAGGCAGCTCACCACCCCTCGGGCTTTCCGTGCACAGCCAGGCTAGCTCAGTGGGGAACAGAGAGCCCGCCGTGGGCCTTGCCTTGCCTTGCCCCTAACAAGCCTCTGGCCCAGAGCAGACAGTGTTCAGAAACGACAGTGGCAAAGGGATCCGGCCGGGAGCTGGAGCTGCCTTGGCGAGGTGGCCTGTGACCTGCCCAGTGCCATCTCCCCAGCACCAGCCACACTGTCAGCCCCCTTCTAGCCTGGCGGCTGTCTCCATGTGCGTACCCATTTGCTTTGCCTACACTGTTCCCTTTGGGAGGCCCCTCGCCTCTTCCACCTGGAAAACCCTTTCAAAGCCCAATTGCAATCATATCTTCCCAGAAGTCTCCCAATGCCCCTGACTGCAACTTGGTCTCTTTCAGAGAAGCTGGAGTCACGTGCCGTCTCTGGGACTGAGGGCACCGCAGGGTAGTTTGTGGCCGCTCAGAAACAGAAAGATGTCTAACTTGTCCTCACAAGGGACGATGGGAGTCTTTTTGTGCCTGGCACTGCGCCTGGCGCTCATGACAAGTTTGAAAGAATGTAACCAACCCGTCTCCCTTCCCCGCCCCTCGCCAGCGTCTTCTCTGCAGAATGATTTGAACATAAGCCTGGCGGATTGTTACCATTTAGTTTTATCTTTAATTTTGCTTTGCTATCAGTTTGCCAACAGCATTAAAATCAAGTCTTTCATGAAAAACTGAAGATGGGAACTTAGCTGCCAAGCTTTGAAGGCCGGGGAGGGGTGGGGTGGGGGTGGAGGAGTTGCCTGGAGATGCTGCCAGGTTTTCCGGGGCCCCAGCCTGATCAGGATGAATGCCCAGTCTCGCCATCCTCCCTTCAGCAGGGAGAGCGCCACGCACCCGAGGCCGGCACTGTAACCCGCGCCTACTGACCCTAGAGCCGTGCTCCCTCTCCTGGGCCTGCATTCCTGCAACCTGGAATTCCTGCAAGCCCTCCCTCCGTCCCTTATCATGGTCGTAGGAAACCAGTTCTCTCATCTGATCCCGTAGTATCTTTTTGGCCAACTTATTTGTCAAAATGACTTCTTTCCTGGATTATTTCCTCATAGTGTTCCTAAGTCCCCAGGTAGGTCCTCCAAGGATGGTAATGTTCTGCGATGACTGAGCCCTTCTTCCCAAAGCATCATTCCCGTGAGGGCTAGCATGTCGCTGACTGGAGTCTGTGACTTGTCTGAAGCAGGACAGTCAGAGTCTTACCATTCGGAATGGGATTACCCAAACTCTCCCTGCCTCTTTCTGTTTTCACTACGTACCATGGCCCCTACCAAAACATGGTCCATACTTTAAAATAATCCTTAGAAAAGGACTGTATTCCTTTTTACTCGGAATTCTGTCTGAGTAAACAGAATTGCCAGTGGCCTGGAAAAGGCTGGACTTGTTCCAGGAACTCCGAGCTGTGTCAACGAGGCTGGACCTTTCTGTTTGCGCTTGAGGCCTCAGAAGACCTCAAGAGCAGTTAAGCCACAGCCCTCGGCCCAGCACGATGCCCGTGGAAGCCGCAGCTCCTGAGCCAGCCAGACCAGGTAGCAGTGCCCCCGTGGCAGGCAGCCTGCCCATCCTCCGAAGCTGTCCCTTCTGGGCGAGGCATGTGACGGTCACCTTATCTGTGTGGTTTCCTTGTGAGTGTCGGATTGCCCTGTCTCTGCTCGCCCTGACATGCACCGGAGCATGTTAGGGAGCGCGGACAGATGGCTCCCTCATGTTGGTGAGGCGTGCCCCCCCGTTACTCGCAGCTCAGGGGCCCTCATGTCCGTCTCTGCGCTCTCATCCAGGGGCCCTCATGTCCGTCTCTGTCCAACGGCCTCCCTCCGTTTCTCCTGTCCGTCCCACTGACCTTTGATGGGGACTGCTTGTCTTGTTCACCGTCAGAACCAAACCATTTCTTTGTTGAATCTGTAGATGAATTTCTCAAGCTCTGTCTCTCCCGCATCATCTTCGATGCCTGTTCCCTGCAGCATCCCAGAGGCTGCTGTGATGTAGGCTTTGGTTTCTCTCTCTGGGCCTGGTTCTCCGGTCGCCCCAACAGCTCTCTCTGCGGCCCACAGCCTCCCGGCTCCCCCTCGCCCTTTAGTTCGTAGATGCTTTGGTGTCCGCCTCCCGGGGTACCCCAGCCCGCGGCTTCGCCCCGCTCCGCAGAAAAGCCCTGCTTCCGTGAGGGTTGGTGCTGCAGGAGGCGGGGCGTAGCATCCAGACACCTTCCTGCCTGGGCTTCTGCAGGCGTCTCAGAGGTGGCTGACGCTCTGTACTTGCTCAGTCAGGCTGCTTTGCTGAAGCTGCATCGGAGTTGTGGTTGAAAGCTTCTGGTCCAGCCTTGGGGTGCCCCTGGTTGTGGTGCTGGCTCTCCTCTCCCTGTTCCCAAGGAGGGGCCCCCTGGCCCTCACACGTGTCCTGGAACAAGGAGCTCGGCCAAGCCCTGGAGAAAACCAGGCCGTTGTGCACGGGCCCCAGGCAGCACGGGCACTGCTCAGGGAGCCAGGCAGGCAGACTCTCCCTCCAGACCAGCCACCAAGCGGGGCTCTTGAGAGAAGCCCATTCCTGGAGGCCCGGCCTCTGCAGGCTGCCCAGCTCCCCAAGGCCACGGCCTGGGCCAGCTCCTCCAGCCCCGGAGCCCTGTCGGCCGTCCGGGCCTGTGGCTCCCAGGACACGGGAGGTGACTGTGAAGGTGGTGACGATAGAAACTGTCGAGTTTGGACGGCTCAGCCAAGTGGTTGGGCTTCCTACTTACAGCCTCCTGTGGTGAGAACTGGTTCGGTACCACAGGCATCTGGAGTTTTAGGAACAAAGAACAAAGGTGTATTTCATCGAAAGGCCTAGAAAGAAAGCCATGACTAGTGGGGATTTTCTGGGTGGTTGATGTTTTTAAGGTCCTAGAGGCCTTGGGCGCCTCCAGGTTCCTTAAAAGGAAAAACACACCCAATACCAAATTCCAGAGCACGGAGGCCACAGCGGAGCGGGGAACAAGCATGAGCTGCACAAACACGACACTCTCCCGGGGGAAAGTCGTGTCCTGAGGGCCTCCCGGGCCACACACGGACCCTGTGTTCAGGCGGGGAGCCACTTGGGAGGCCATGGGCTACCGGTGGTGGCTGATACGAGTCCCGAGAGCAGGTCACCCTGTGCTTGTGGCCAGCTCCTCCCCACACCTGCCGCTTATCCTGGGAAGCCGGACCAGAGACCCCAGGGCCGGCCTTGGACCAGGAGGAAGCTGCAGACTCAGTTTGAGATTGCAGAATCGCAGGGAAGGACACAGGCAGATGGCCCGAGGGAATCAGCCCAATGCTGGCCACACGGCAGAAGGCGTGAGCAGAGCCTCACCGGTGTCTCAGGTCTGGTTCCCTAGGGTGTCAAGTGACCCCAGGACAAGGGCCTGGCCCTCTGCGGGCACTTCGTACCTGGCCAGGGCTCGCCCAGGGTCTCAGGGCCACACGGGCTCTCCTTAGTGTCAGGCTGGGTGGGCCCCTCCTGCACAGCTCCTGCCTCCACCGAGAACTGGAGCAAACATACACACACACAGGCCGCTCGTTCCTCCCGAGTCAGAGAAGCACCAGACAAGAGGGGTGTAGGCAGAGGCTGGTTTAGACGGAGGCCCTGCTGGGAGGAGTAGGGGGTGGTTTTAAGAACAAGAAGGAGCAGGCTGGGCACCCAGAGGCGCCAGGACTGGGCTCCCTGTCCTATGGGAGCAGATGGAGTCACCACGCCCCTCCCCTGGGGAGGTCCCAATAGGCTAAGGTGATTAGATGTCCCGCTTTTGGCGGGACAGTCCCGATTTTTAACAATTTGTCCTGCATCCCGAGGCATTTTTAAAAAGTCCTGATATCGGGGCTGGTCCGAGTGCAGTGGTGTCTTACAACTAAAAAGTCCTGATATTGGGACACGGGACAAATTGTTAAAAATCGGACTGTCCTGCCCAAAGCGGGACGTCTGGTCACCTTACAACAGGCTGACTACAGGATCTCACCTTAGGCACTGGGCACTATGTCAGCCCCACTGAGGACGTCCACCTCGCCCCATGACCTGCCACAGTAGCTGCTGAGAGAAGCCGCACTCCGCTGGTCCCACGTGGCACAGGAGGGAGGCTGGTGCCGAGGCGTTTCTCGTTTATCCAGTGGGGGCCGGAGTAATAAACAATAGCACCAAACCAGGACAACAAGCCTGGCTGGGGACGGAGCAGAAGTGTGGGGACAGGTTCCAACCACATGCTGCCAGCCCCGCCAGCCAGACACGGCTGGCTCCTTGCTGGGGAAGAGGGGTGGGCACCGGAGAGCCAGGCGACAGCCTGCCACGCAGAAGGGGACGCTGAGCCTTCCTCACCTGCCACCTGGGCCGTTTCGTATGAAACGCTGAAGTCCGGCCCAGGCAAGGAGCCTGCTGTGATCAGAGAACATCGGAAGGAGGGATCACTGTGGGGTCCCCTCGGCGGGCCATGCCCTCCACCCCGTCCGCCTAGTACCACCAAGCCGACGACAGGCAGAGCTTCCACACACTGGCCATGCCCACCACGGCTTGACTCGGTTAACTTCCCATCTTTTCCTTCCCTTTCCAAGAGCGAGACCTCACCTCCGCAGGACTGAGCCTGGGTACGTGGCCGCCGGCCGTGCATGTGCTGCCGCGGGTGATGGCTGTGATTCTCAGTGTGATCTGGGCCCTCGGCTCTTCCCGCCCTTCCTCTGTGCTCCTCTGTGCTGCTGCTCTGGCTCCGGCCCTTCACCCTGTGGGTCTCACCCTCACCCGCCTCTCTCTCTCTCTGATTCAAAGGGGCACCGCCAATCAAACGCTCCCCTAATGAAAGACCGAATCACTCTGTACAGCACGTGTGCATTCAGAGCCTGTCTCCGACCTCGGCTGGCCATGGTGGAAAGCCACTGCCTGACATGCCTGGGCTCCAGGGGGACGTGGGGGGATTGGCGAGGTGACCTCGGGGAGGGGCCCCTGATTGTTTTTGGACTGTTTAGAGCTGTGCAATGGAACTTGGGGGGGGGGGCAACCCTGATACAGAGGCATCCCAGTGGGTGTAAAGCCTAATAAGCAAAGGTGGAATAAATTCTTATTCTGTAGCCCAGGGTTTCTCAAAGGCTGGTACATGGACCACATACATCAGCATCAGCTTGAGGAGTTTTAATCAGAAGGCAGATCCTTGGGCTCCACCCCAGACTGAATTAGAGTCTCTGAGGGTTAGACTCAAAAAAAGTCTATGTGTTAAACAAGCTCTTCAGATGATCCTGGTGCCCATTTGAGAACCCCTGCTGGACAATGAGGAAGGGGAGGGAGGCATGTTAACACGTGTTCACTGCCTCTTCACCAGGAATCATTCTTTCGGTGGCTCTGGCTAGCATCCTCGGCATCTGCATCGTCCTGGCGGTGTCCATCTGGCTTTTCAGAAGGAAGAAGAGGTGAGCTGGTTTTGCTGGGAAGCAGGGGTGGGTGGCGTATGTGTCCATGAGGAGGAATCCGTCTTGGAAGGCAGACGGCACAGTTGAGAGCCCCCGCCCCCGGTACTAACACGGCCTGGGAGTGCTGGTTCCCACACGCCCCTGGCTCAGGCCTCCTTTGCATGAGATGTTGGTTGTACAAGGGTCGTTGTGCTGGAGGTTCTGCCAGCCTGGCTGCTGTGGCTAAAACCTTGGGTGGGGCTCTGGGTGGCGGTGGTAGTGGGAGTCCCATTTGCCTAAATGTAAGCAGCAAGGCTCTTCCAAGACCTTTACAACTGGTGTGTCTTCTTCTATATATATATATATATATATATATATATATATATATATATATATATATATATATATATATACTTTTTATTGAATTAATTGGGGTTATATTGGTTAATAGGTTTCAGTGTACAATTCTGTAATACATCATCTGAATATTGCGTGTACACCCCCCAGGATCTAATTTCCTTCCATCACCACTTGTCCTCCCTTTTCCCTCTGTCACCCTCTTCTACATCCCTTCCCCCTGGTACTGTTGTCTGTGTCTACAAGTTTGATTTTCTTAACCCCTTCACTTTTTCACCCAGCCCCTCAACCTCCTGACAGCTGTCAGTCGTTCTCTGTACCTATGAGTACGTTTCCATTTTGTTTATTTATTTTGTTCGTTAGATTCCACATATGAAATCATATGGTATTTGCCTTTTATGAATCCCAAAAGAAACGTGAAGGAAAACTTCATTTTCCACTCACATTAGCTATAGTGCCCTCTGCTCATATTTCATTGTTATGTTTGTTTTTCCCCCTAAAGCCCAATGGATGTTTCCTGGCATGAAAAAAAAAAGGTTGCCAGGAACCCTGCAATGGAGTCAAAGGTTTGAAGCAAGGGTGTAACGAGACCTTCTTCAAAACGCAGGCCTAGCACTGCCAGGCGTTAAAAAGGAACGGTTGGACAATGAGCCGATCCCATCTTGGTTCATGCTTTAGATGCAGCTGTTCCCGCTGAAAACAGACAGAAAAGGTCCCGAGACAGGAATCTGCTCCCTGAAACTCGCCTCATTTCCTAGCTGAGCAAAGCTGCGCTCGGCCTCTCTCCCCCTTTGACTAACCAGCTGTGTGTGTCCCTCTCCTTCCAGCAGTAAGAAAGGCGGCGGCAATAAAGGCGTCATTTACAAGCCGGCCCTCAGGAAGGAGGCGGAGGCCCACGCCTGAGGCCCCGCACTGCAGGCGCCGCGGACGGACTTTGCTTTGGATGCTTTCACACGGCGGCGCCCTGGACACTGGAGCTACCTGAAGGTTCTGTGCAGCTCACCCCACAAACACCCCAGACCCAGGGGGGCCTCTAGCTGGGTGCCCCCCACCCTGATGCTTGGCCTCTCCCAGGGCCATCGTGGATGGGAGAGCTGGCCTGGGAGCGGGGACTCGGAGCTGTGTGCTTCATCTGTGTGAGACCAGAAGAGGTCGGGGTTCTGGGGACACACATCACGTCGCTGTGGGGGCTGCGATAATGGGAAGTCACTTTTCTCCAGGGGTTGACTCAGGTCAAAGGTCAGCTCCTTGTCCAAGCTTTCGCACCAGCAGGTGCCCATGCGCACCCTCTACTTTGTTTTGCTTTGAAGACTCAAGTCTTGCCTCAGGGAAGCCAGTGTTGTCTTCCTCTGCCTCTCCTACTGTGACAAGGCCTTTAGTCTGACCTTGCCACCTGGGCAGTGGGGGGTGGGCTGGGGGGGTGGAGTGGGAAGCACAGGCACAGGGCCGAGGTGCCTGAGATGAAAGAAAGGAGATATTCTCTGAAAAATGGAAGGGCATCTTCCCAGTCCTGTCCTTTGGGTCAGACAGGCCGACCAGACTGTAGAGAGCATGGGAGACACGGTCTGAGGGATCTTGGAAGCTGTGAGTGTGAGAAGGACAGACTAGGAAGCCCGAGCCCACATGCCCGTCCGGGGGGCAGTGCGGGTTGATGCTCTGTAGATGTTACCCATAATTGGGCCGCCCCTGGAACAAAAGCTGTTGCTTTCTCTCTCCAGAGCGGACGTGAGTTCTGAGAATCTAGGAAATAGGCAGAAGCAAAGTGACTGATGAGCTTTGACTCTTTTGCTTCAATTTCATTTCTCACTCCTTCGTGGGACTGGGATTTGGCTACTTCTCTGAGGACCGAGCACAGCTTAGTCAAAAGGTATTTTCAAGGCATGACAGCAGGGCGTTTTCTGTGCTGGGCTGGCAACAAACGAAAGGACTGTTCCCAAGATCCCTCATGGTCTCCCCGCCATGACCCAAAGGCAGCTCCTGAGGAGACAACTCCTCCGCCGTCCCCTTCGATGGAAGGGCCCAGGCCCGAGCAGGGGCCCCCGCCGTGGCCTCTCGGGTCAGCACCCCCCAGCTCACAGAACCCGCTGGTTCCCAGCCTCATCTGACAGCATGGAATGTCCCCCGGAAGCACGGGTCCCTTTCTGTCCTCCCTTTCCCCCTGCTCTCCCTCTGTCCCCCACAGGTCTTCGCCGCTCTCCTCTCTCACCACCGCCCTAGTGAGCAGGCCTGCGCCTCCAAGGCTCGTGTGCCTGGCAGTTACCCCTGACGCCGCGGCGCCAAGGAGACGTGGGTGTCGCGAGCCTCTGGCAGGGCTGGGGCCTGGGTGGCCTCGCATGCTGCCCGCGGTCAGCACACCTGACGCTGGTCCACCGACAGCAGGGACAACCCTGTGGGACCAACGATGCGAACGAGGCAATGCTTTCTTGGCCTCGGCCCAACGTGGCCGTCAGAAACCAATGCAAGCCGCTCCAGCGCAGTGGGCCCACTCAGAGAGCTCTCTGCGCCTTTGGCAGATACATTTTGAGAACAGAGAGATCACTGTGCCTGGCAATGGCTTTCATAAGAAGAAAGACTCACTGGGCAGTGAAAGCAGTGGCATTTCTCTTGCCCTCTTCCCCCCATAGCCTAGGCTCTGGCGTCCCGGGCCTCCCGGCTGAGAAAAACCAAGCCAGGGAAGCGAGCAGAGGCTCCCAGAGCCAACAGGCGACCTCCCTCCCAATCCTCACGGGGCTCCTGAGGCTCCTGGGACTGGGACGCCTCCCCTCAGGCTCTCACTGACCCCACTGACCCCGGCCGACACAGAGGGAGGGAAACCTGTGCGTGGGAAGGGGGTGAGGGCGGCCTGGCTTCGTTGCCTCTCACTCGTGGGGGTCAGGAGTCTCTCCATTTTGTTTCTTCAGTTTCATCTGATAAAACAGTAAAAACCGACACCTGTTTTCTTAATAGATATTCTAAGATTTTGCTGCATGGACTATTCATTGCATTTCAAGTTCAGACCTTAACTTCTTCCCCCCTCCACTCAGCTCTCCGAGCGCCTCCTGGCTGGCCCTTGGGGAGCACTGGGGTCCGCAGCACCCCTCTGTCCCCGTGCCTGGGACGGAGCATGGCCACTGTGACGAAGGTCTGTTCAGCACTTATGTATTTATTGTAAAGATGATTGTAATGAAGACACTGTAAATATGAGAAATTATAAATAAAGTTTTTCACAGGAGACTGATTTTTGGAGGTGAGGGGAAAGCACGTGGCAGTCTCCAGGGTAGGGTGACAAGTAACCAATCAGAATGAACAGCGGAGCCGTCTGCATCCGGGGTTTAGAACCTGGCTCCAAAGGTCCCACACGGAGGTCCTTCGTCCCTTTAGGGCAGGTGGAGGCCTGTGGCGCCTGCAGCCCAGGGTCACAGCCGCTTCCCCGGGAGCCGGGAGGTCTAGAGTGGTTAGGGAAAGAGCCTTGGAAACTAAGTCAGAGATAAACGCGTTTGGAAAAGAACAAGCTATTCTTCACCAGAGTGCCATGAACACAGGAAACGGGTCTCAGGTCCCTTTCCCAGATATTCTACCTTGTAAAGTGGCAGCCTCTCTTGGTTGCCTGAATGCGACCTCATTCTAGATCCTTTTTACAAAACACACTGTCACCCTCCTGCCATCTCTTGTCTAAGTCCAGGCTTCAGATTCCGGTTTGCTGAAGAAGCCAGGCCACCGTGGTGTACTTGCCTTTCTTAGGAAAGCTCCCGGCTCGCACTTCAGTCGCCCCAGGGTGGGGATGGGTGCCATGGAAGTCACCCCCAAATTCCCCCCACAGCCCTTGCCCCGCTCCCTGGCAGTGAGGATGGGAAGTGTGGTGACAAGAGCCACAGGCTGGCCGAGGAGACCCCAGTCTGCCCTCAGCGTGGCCATCGCCTCCTCATCGAAATCCAGCCAAATGGACAAGCTAAGCACACAGCCCAGCAGGAATACAATAAGATATAATGCCAGACGTGACATTTTAAAGTTCTAGTAGCCACACCAAAAAGAAAGTAGAAGAAACCAGTGACATTAATTTTACTATATTGAATGTAACCCAATAGACCCAAAATACTATAGTTTCAACATGTGATCACTATTTTGATATGAAAGATTTTCATTCGTGTGTTGTTTTTTCATAGCAAGTCTGAAATCTAGTGTGTATTTTACACTTCTAGCACATCTCAATTCAGAGGCTCCATTTTCATTGAAAACATTTTATCCATATTTAGACTACATAAAATTTATAGTTGGAAAAGCAGATTTACATACTCGCTCCAAATACACCCAGAAGTTTTCCAAATAACTGAATCCATGGTCAGCTTTTCAATGTAAACTTCTGAAAATAAAATAAATGGAGTCTCTCTCGTCTCACTGACCACCCTCCAGTGCTCAGGCGGCCTGTGTGGCCAGGGCAGGACGGCCCCTGTGCAGATGTGGGACGCTGACTCTTCCTTTGAGAGGTTAGACCCAGAGGACTTTCTCACAAAGACAAACACTGGCAGAAAGCTCTGGAAGGGCATGAGGGGTGGGGGTGGGAGACAGAGGATAGGAGGACTGGGAGGCAGATACAGAGGGCGGAAGGCGGTAAGAAAAAGGGCAGGTGGAAAATCAGGCCGAGGCGAACAGATCAGCTGACCTTAGACCAGTTGCAGGCCTCCTCCCACCTCCTTCTCTGGCTCAGGAAGGAGCACTCCCCAGCCCTCCCTGCCCTGGCCATGCCTCTGGGCCATGCCCTGGAATCCAGGTGCTCAGCAGTGACTCGAGCCTGGGGCACCCCAGTGCCTTGTGGGGAAGCTCTGGCTGTGGACACAAGGGCGCCTGGTTAATTGCCAGGGACCTGATGATGTGGGACCCTGACCCAGGGCTATCTGCTTCCCCACCCAACCCCCACCTCGTTGGTCCTGACATTCCTGCACCTGACAAGGCAGTCTCCACTCCAGCTCCAGGAGACCAGCACCTCTTGGATTGTCAGTGGTGCCTTTGTTGGAACAAGTCACCTTGCTTCCTTCGAGGTGGGGGGAGAAGTCTTGAGGCCCACTTAGAAGAGGAAACCAGACCTCTGGGGCTGCCCGCGGGGAAGCGAGGTGTCACCTGTGCAGTGGGCACTGCTCTGGCATCACCATCCATGTCCACATTGGAAATGGCCTGGCAGGTACGCATGGCACAGGGTGTGGCGGAAGGTGTGGAGGATCCCCATGCCTCTCCCGTGCCCTCTCATTATTGAATGTCTGGGCAGAGAGATAAGGGCCCAAGTGCTTTGTGGTATGGAATGACTCGCCATAACAATTTATTGCAACCAGAGGTCAGCATATCATTGTGACTGCAGGTCACCCCGGGCTTCAGTGTTGCCTCTCACTTATTTACCTTCCCTCCAACAACCCAGGGGAGAGGGAGCAAGGCCCTTATCTTACAGGTGGGAAACGAATCCAGGGCTCTGGCTCTGGGCTAAGCCGAGGCCGCACAGCCTCTGCGGTGCTAGGATCTCCAGGGACAGTGTGGGGTGCACCTTCCACAGCTCCGGTGGCATGGAAACACCTTCTTGTAATAGAATTTACTGAGCAGATCTCAATCATGCCATAACCTCATAAAACCCCACAGGCTGAAGGCACTAAAGAGTCCCTGCCAATGATTTCTGGAAAGTCAGCAACAATCCCCTGCCTCCAGTCTGCCTGGTAACATTGAACCCTGGCCTCTGGTCAGGAAAGTCTGACCAAGGAGTGACAACTGAAAGCGAGCAAAGGAGTCAGCCCAGCGCTGGGCAGGTACAGATTCAGAAGAACAGATTCCCAAGGACACGTTCACTGAACCCTCCCTTTTCCTAAGGCTGAACTGGGGAGAAGGAACACACCCACCTACACAGTGTAATTCCATCTGTATACAATTCCAAAGTATGCAAACTC